AATAAAATATTGTTAGTATATAATATTATAGTTAGTTAGGTTGTAATAATTTGGGTTTTTTGAGCGAATTAGTGTTTTCCGCCAATTTGAGATTTTAGTGGCCAATTTTTCATCAATTTAGTCAACTCTTTATTGTAGTCCATATATGATTATATACTTAATCCATGATAATTCTATGATTTCTTTTGTGTGATGTAAATTTAATGGTCAACATAAGTTCATATAGGGAAAGAACATCTCAATATTCATAAATTGATGAAAACAATGAAAGTTAATAACGTAGTACCCCCATTTCTTATTGGATTCCTAAAAAACAACATTTATAATAAATTTTAATAATTTTTTTGGATTTTTTTAAGTCTTAATCCTAGCGATTCGGCTCGATTCCCGATCCGGATCGTCGATTCGCCAATCCGGATCGATTTTTGGGATGCCCGATCCGGGTCACCAATCCTTTTTTTAAACCACTAGATTTACGTGCTGGTGGTGCTTCTCTCCTGGTTGTGATGGTAGATGCTCTACGCATCAGGATTTGATTGGCCTAATGGGTGGGACTTCTACTTCAAGAGTTAGATGGTATCTCTTGATCTTGATTATGCTGATTATATGCATGCTTAAATGCTTTGATCTGTTATGATGCTCATGCATAAATGTGTTGATATGTTAATAATGCTCATGCCTAAATGATTTGATTGACTGCTTATTACAATCATATCTAATTAATTTGATTAGTTATTACTCCATCATGAAATAAATCATGCATGACACATGTTTAAATATGAATTTGACACATGATTCTATGTTTTGTAAGACTTGCTTAAAACCTTGACTTTTTACATGATAGAATATTTGTAAGCATGAATGCATGCACCTAGATCTTATTTACTAAGGTTTACAGCTCACTACGTTAATTTTTCCTCAATGTAGAGTGATAGCCAACCGTAACTGGAGTGACATGTCATGATGATCGTGTTTGGCGTCCCTAACCCCCCTTCTGTTGAAGCTCTATTTTGCAGTGTATATTTTGGTTGGCGGTCTGGCCATATAGTTCATTTTGATTTGGTAATATGTCTTGATGTTTGGCCTTTTGTGCCTTGGGCCCATATGTACTATTTTGGACTGTTATATGTATTTTGGGACTTGTTTGTCCAACAAACTATGGTTATGTATATTTTGTTTCGTTTTTTGTATCTTTTTGTGGCAGGCTTGATACCGAAAATTCCTTCTCTTTACAAGGTGTTGAGCACACTCCAACCAAAGTGGCACTCGCAACCTGTGGTCGTTGCCCCACTCCCTACGGTCCTCCGGCATGCCTTGGCCTGACCCTCTCTGGGTTTGATGGGGACGACAAGGAGCGGGGTTGTGACAATGTGGCATTCATGCACCTAAACATAAGGAATTTTTTATCCTTGCATAACATTATGCCCAAAATATGCATCGAAATTCTGTATATTATGAAGGCATAGCATGGGAGAAATTTAGTATATTATGAAAGCATAGCATGACACAAATGCAATAGGAAAATGTGGCTGGCTTGACAAGGTAAACTCTTCCTTTCTCGTTAGATACACAATACAAACTCTCGGGAGAATTTAGTAATAGGTTAAAAACAAAATTGAAGATCACATAAGCTGGTTACTTTTTAAATTTCAGAATAGACATAAGCAATAATATATATATATATATAGAGAGAGAGAGAGAGAGTCAAATGGTCAAATCACAACTTCCCGTTGAATAAGAAAAACTTTTTTCATGTAGGCACAAAATAAAATACATTAATTGTTTTAAAATTTAAGAGAGAGTGTGAGATCTCCATTAGCACTGCTTGTATAAGATTCATATTCGAATTATATCATTACAACATTGTTCCATCTCTCTCTATCTCTATCAAGAAGAATTTTTTGCCTTGAAAATACATGCGCTAAATGCTCTCGTACCTACTTTATGGCTTTGAAACCAAATATATTCATCACCACACTTCAAACCAGAGCCTCCTGCTCTCACTGCCCCATACAGTTCCCCATTCAAAATGCACAGAGTACTCTTGATCCTAATTCTTTAAGTCTAGCAAGGCAAAGAATAGATCAAACAAATAAATAAAGCCATTACTCAGTAGAATCTAATCTTTTAGCTATAAAAAGAACAATAATCATCAAATAAATAAAATCATTACTCCGGTCTTTCCTGTATTCAGATAATTATTATACTGAAAATAACAAGAAATCATTCACTTGATCCAAAATTTAATCCGTTTGCTATGAAAAGAATTGCATAATCAAGGGAAAAAATGGTCGAAAAACATGAAAAATGGGTGGGGCATATTTTCAAACATGAAAATCTCATTGTATCTTGAAACATATTTTCAAAAAAGAAGGTCAATCAAACTTCTCTCTATGGGTGGCATTTTCAGAATTCCTGAGCAAACCCAAACACAGTGAAAAATCAAAATAAAGAAAGAACCCTACACTGACAAATTAGTCAACACATAGATCAATAGAGTAAATTCTAGAAAAAAATCCCAAAAATAAAAGAAATGGCATTGAGTGTGGCATTCGTACCTGGGGTAATCGGAGATCCATTGCTGGGATCACGTGAAGGTGAAAATTAGGGTTTTTTCAAGGTAAAAACCAAGGTGTTGAGCTGTAAAAAAAATAAAAAGAAACAAAAATACAGAAAGTTACCAAAATCTCTCATCTTGTTTACCAAAAAAGAAAGCTCCAAAATCTTACGCAAATAAAGCTACCAAAATCTCACCAAAAAGAGAAAAAAATCCTTATGTAGAAGAACACTTCCATTTTTGCCTGGGATTTTTTCTGATCAAGAGAGAGAGGACAGGGGAGGACAAGGCGAGAGGTTAAGAGAGAGAGAGGATGGGGGACGACAAGGAGAGAGAAAATAGAGAGGTGTGTGAGAGAGAAGAGATTGTGATGAGCTTTAAATTTTGAAATTCAAAGTTTACCTCATTAATGTAAGTTTTTTCAAATTTTGAAGTAAAAGTCACAAATGCCCTTCTATGGGTTTTTGGTGTTCAAATAATATAGGGGCAATAAAAGTATAAATAGGGTTTACAAGGGATTCTAATTTGAACCTATGTAATTTGAAGAGTTGTTAATCTTAAAAAATCCCTATATATTTATGAAAAATGATCCTATAAGACCCTCCCTTACCCATATGTGTAGGATCCAAAGGATCACCATTAAATTTGGTATGGATCTCTAAATAGTCAAGTCCCACACCCATGTGATAACGTTTCTGGATATCCATGCCAAATTTAATGGTGATCCTTTGGAGTCCGACATACATAAATGAGGGAGGGTCCTATAAGATCATTACTCTATATTTATATGTATATATAAGAGAATGGCGTTCCTTTAATATTTCAAACTTCAAAGTCTACGTTTACATGAGGATTCCACTCAAAATCCCCAAACAAAAACTCACTTCTACAAAACTCACTCCCTATCTCCTAACCCAACTAACAAATAACTTTATTTTAGCTGCATGCCATCTAACAAATACAGACTCCTTATTTTCCTCATTTTCCTCTCTTTCTCTCTCTATCTCTCTCTCTCTTAACCACAAAACTAAAGATCACTCTTTTCTCGATTTCTAATTGCATAGAAATTAAGGAGTGTTAATAAGGATAGCAGGAGGGGCTTCTGCCAAATGAGGCTTAGCTGCAAAGACCTCAACACTCTTTTCATGGATATAGCCATTTCGAACTGCGAAGCTCTCTGGAAATGAAAACACAGTCAGTGAGGGCTTTTTAGAGTGACATTCAGGCTTCTTAGACATCTTCAGAGAAAAACCAAAAAACTAAAAATAGGTGATAATGAAGAAACAATGGAGAGAAGAGAAGAAAAGTTTGGAGGGAGACCAAAAGCTAGAATGATGTGATATAGAAAATAGAAGAAAAGAAAAATCAACAAAGAGAAGCTAATAGCTGGAACTGAGAATGAAGAAACGAGGGTGATGATAAGAAAATTCTAGAGCTTATCTAGAGAGAAAGAGGGATTGGTTGCTGGTCAAATCAGTGCAAGAGAGGCAGAGAAATAAGGGACCTAATTTTGCGCCCAATACTTTGCAAGAATGGACACATCGAAGATGAATCGGCTCTGATATCATATAAAGAGTCTCAGGTTTCTCTAAAAAAACTCAGTGTCCATTGGCCAATATGAATATAGAGCTTGTCTTAAATATAAACAAATACAAATGATAAGAATAAAAATAAATCATAGGCACATATACTATGCCAAGACTTATCATAAAATATAAGATATTATACCTACCCTTTCCATATATATTGATTACAATATACACCTTCTACATTAACTTGGCAAACAATATATATTTCCCTTTAACATGTGAAGAGTCTCAGGTTTCACAGAAGAGACTCAATGTCCATTACTTGTATTAATGCACAGACTTGTCTTTTATAGACAAATTACATATGAGAAAAAATAGAAATAAATCACAGAAACTTAAACTATACTTAGACTTACCACAAAATATAGGATCTTGTACATACCCTTCCCATATATATTGATTATAATATATACCTTTCATATTGATCTGATAGATAATATATTATTGCCTTTCAAACTCTCCCTCAAACTTAAGATGCTATGAGAGAACAGCTGGAGTTTGAATACTAGTTGCAAAAAACAAACGCACAAATAACAAAGACTTCAAATCCGCAAATAGTGGAGACGACAAATCCATCATATGGCGCTTTTACAAATGGTTTCATATTAGATTCGAAAGGGATTTTTTAGAGGCCATTACTCAGAGGCAGGTTTATTCAGAGGAAAGGCAATGATTTCAACTATTATAATTTTTTTTAGACCATTTTCAGATGGTTGATTTTCACAGGACAGAAAGGTAAATATTTCATAAATAACGATTTTCGTGGTATTTTTCTATCTTCTTTTTTTTTGACAAATTTTCAAAGGAGTTTAGTGACAGATCTGGCCGAGACTTGGCAAAGGGCTAATTTTTCGAAGGCAAAAGGGTTGTTCTTCATAATGGCAGAAACATACAATTTTTTTTTTTTGGCTAGTTTTTCAAAAGGGGTTTTTCAGAGGGTCAATTTCAAACATTTTAGGTCATAGTAGTTGGGGAAGATCTGAACGAGTGGTTAAGGGGGCTTTAGGATCTGAGAGGCTGAAAATCTAGATGAGGGTTGAGGGAGATCTGGATGGCAAAGGCACTTTCAGGCGTAGAGATCTGGGTGGTAGAGGCACTTTCAGGCGTAGATGGCATATCTGCGAAACCTAGACCGGTAGCTGAGGCTCAAGTGGTGCAACCACCATGACCTCAACCGCATTCCCTTATAAAAAGAATCCGGTTAACAAGTTCAACACATTGGTCCCGAAGTTACTCAATACGTATATTACAAACAGTAGTTTTTCCCGAATCAATACGACCAGCAACTCCTATAATAAACGATTGTCTATGCACATCTTCATTTGTAGAGGACGATGGTTGATCCACTTCTATAGCCATTTTACTCTCTACGCCATCCAAATGAAGCTCAGGAAAGTGAACTCCTCATGAAGCTTCCAATTGATCCACTACAGATTTAGAATCCATAAACGTGAATCACCCATCCTTGTGGTCAACAGCTTGTAATGTACGAGATCAGTAGAGAGAGAGGAGTAATGAAGAACATTTTGTTGATTTATCTTGTATTCCAAGATAAGTCTCGGTTAGATTTTCATATTTTATTGGGAAGTGAATCCTAAATTTTAGGAAACAAATATTTTTTGTATATCTCTAAATTGGCAAGAGATAGGGGCATAAAGATTTTGCCCTTATGTGATCTCTTTAGGTTTTGTATTTATTTAGGTAGAGCCTATTATTTATTATCTAAGTTTATAGATAAGTCTTACTTAGATTAGGATGAGGTTTTGAGTCCACATAGATAAGGATATAGTTCCTTTTTTGATAAAGTTAGGAAAGTTGAAATTGGTTTGATGTACTTGTCTTGAGGGCTTCATTCTCTCTATAAAAAGATACTTTTCTAGAGAAAAAAAGTATGTGTGGAAAAAGTAGGCCTTATATGGCTACACTTTTGGATTTGTCCTATCTTATTGAGATATATTGTAGAGAGAAAAAGTACACTTTTGGGGGTTTTGTAGAAAGAGAAAATTGTAGAGAAGAGGCTTTGTGGGAAATTGAGTCTTTGGTCCTCTCAAGTAAGTTGCCTTATAATTTTTTTTTTTTGATTTAGCAAAAAACATTGATCGTCTTCACCCATGGATGTAGTCACATCTGTGATAAACCACGTAAATTCTGGTGTTCTTTTCTGTTATTTGTTTCTTGCTTTATTTTTGTTGCTTGTTATTTGTTTTTTATCGATTGTTTTTCTCATACTTTATTTGCCAAAAATCAACCCTTCGGGTTTAGAGTTTCCGCGCACAACAAGTGGTATCATAGCCTGGTTTAGGGTGTCGGTATAGCAGTAAAAGTTTCGAATGCAAAATTTGAGGTAGAGAAATTTTGTGGCGAAAATAATTTTGAAATTTGGCAAATCAATGTTTAGGATTTACTAGTGCAACAAGGTTTACATAAAGCTCTGAAAGGAAAGTCGAAGAAACCAAAATCCATGTCTAATGAGGACTAGGAAGACTTATTTATGTGGGCTATGAGCACTATTCAATTGTGCTTATCTAGTGAAGTGCTATTTAATATTGGCAATGACGACTTAACATCAAATATTTGATCAAAGTTTGAGAATTTGTATATGACGAAGTCCCTCACAAATCGACTGCTTTTTAAATATAAATTATACACCCTTCGAATGAATGAAGGTACAGATATCCATGAACGCCTGAATTATTTTAATAAAATCATTTGTGAATTATTGAATATTGGTGTTAAAATAGATGATGAGGATAAGGCTATAATTTTGTTATCCTTACTCCTTAATTCGTATGAGCATCTAGTCACAACATTGCTTTATGAAAAAGATACCATAGAGATGGAGGATGTGACTTCGACTTTTATCTTTAACGATTTGAGAAAGAGACTAGATAATGCTCAGCCACATGCACATGGTTTAGTGGCTAGATAGAGATCTGTTGAGAGAAGTGGAAAGAGATATGAAAGACAGGGCTTGTCTAGATCCAAATCCAAATCAAGAAAAAATAATATTTATTGCAATTATTACAAAAAAAAAGGGCATGTTAAGAATGATTGTTGAAAACTCAAAGAGAAAAAAAGACGAGCTTCTGAAGTAGTCAATATAGTTGATGGAAGCTTGGTAAGTGGAATAGATAATGTGTTGTCGGTCTCGACAAATTGTAATAACTCTAAAGACTCATGGGTTCTTGATTCAGGATGTTCCTATCATATGTACCCTCATCGAGATTGGTTCACCACATACAAGAGCATTGATGGTGGATTAGTTTTGTTAGAGAATGATGCAGCATGCAAGATCATTGGTGTTAGGACAATTGCTATCAAGATGTATGATGGAGTTGTCATAACCTTGACTGATGTTAGACATGTTCCAGATTTGAAGAAAAATCTTATTTCTCTGGGTACGTTAGACTCCAACGGCTGCAAATTTGTTGGAGAAGGTGGAGTTTTGAAGATTCTTAAAGGTGATGAAAGGCAAGAAGATCAGACTGAATTTATATGTGCTGCTTAGGAATACTATTACAAATAGAGCAGCAATTTTCGTATCTGATGATGGTAATTCTGACTTGACTCAGTTGTAGCATATGCGATTGGGCAACATGGGTGCGAAAGGTTTGGCAGAACTTAGCAAACACAAATTGATCAATGGCATGAAGAAGTGCAAGTTGGACTTCTGTGAGCATTGTGTTTATGGTACGCAGTTTAGGGTGCAATTTTGCACTTCAGAACATACCACAAAAGGTATTAT